TCGATCTAGCTAAACATTTACATGAGTAAAATGTAGAATCAGTTTTCAGTGACACCGGTGTGATAGCTTGGCATTGTTCAATATATTTAGAAAAAAGATATATTATACAAATACATATAAACGAATAAATACTTATGCACATATTCTTACTTCATTTATCAAAAAGGTATGGTAAAGATAAATATAGAAATTCAAAATTCAAAACTGTGAGATTCTAATTCAAAATATTTTCCTCGTGTTCTTTTCTTGATTTAGGTTTGCGGTAATTCATACTCATCCATACAAAGACCGGTAACGAGGATCACATATACTGGCTAAAAGCAGATTATAGTTTGTGGATATTTAATTGATGAAGAATCTAGAATTGAATGATTTCGACAATCTATCTTCCACCTGAGTACAGGATATGATGGAGCTATTATGAATCTTAAGGCAGTTCAAGTGGCTGACACAGTTAACCTGAGAGTTACTTTAACACTCAACAGAACAGAAATTATGATTATTTATAGTATTAGACCTTATGTGTATGATTACAGATCTTCAAGTAAAACATGTGGTAGGTAGAAATAGTTTTCCTAACGGATAATAATTTAATGATTTTATTTCTCATCTCTCTACTTGGTATCAAGCATAAATTTTTAAGAGTATCATATATCCACTAAATTATGCATATAGATAATATCAATAAGGTGCAAAATTTGATGCTCATTCTGAAACATTTTTGCATATATTTGAGATTGACTGGTTATATTTAGCATAAAAATCGTCTAACATTATTTTAAGAGTTGAGCAGCATCTGTTTATGCTACCATATTTGGTGCTTAAGATCATGCTACATATACAATTTGGATACTTAAAATAACTTTTATTTTTCCCAAGACTTCTTATCACTTGAGGTAAAAGAAGTTGTGGAACAGCAGCAACCGTACCTAAGAACTGTTCTTTCATATGATAAATTAACCCATTGAAGAAAATTACATTTTTTATTCATATACTTTACTACTAATTTTTTTTTCTTCCATATACTATCATCAATTATACTTCCGTTGTCCCTATTGTCAAGTTCAACATTAGTTCTGATGGATCTGGTCACATATGTTGCATAAGATAAGCAAAGAAGCCCATAATGAAGGGTCTTCGACTCAAATTTTTTTAAACAGGTGAAAGTGTCCCAAGGACATGTCGCCACCAAATTCGAATGCAATTATCTGGCATAGTATGCAATACATTGGTAACACTGAGCAATAATTACTTATATTTTCCCTCAGATCACTTTAATAAGAACAGAATCTACAAGATGAAGATGGAAAATTACCAACACTAATAACTGGTAAATGAAGAAGACAAGAGACGATTTTAATTGGTTAGTTCAAAAGCTATAACCAAGAAGCACAATAATTGCTATTCGGATTTTTCAGTGGACTGACAGAGACGTTTATGCTATAAAGAGTGGCATAAAAGATTTCATCACCACTGCCTGAACTCAAGCACACTTTCCGGAAAAATAAAAAAACAAATAAATAAAAAGGAAAACTCAAGCATGCCTTCATATCTCGATTGTTCCAAAAACTCAACGACGAAAATATAGAATAAAATAAGGTTTGATCTGGTCCATCTGGCCCACTTATTTAAAGTGCAGTCATATAACATTGTATGGAAATCAATTGAAAGTTTTTTTTTGCAATAAAACCCCATGAGCCGCTATATTCACAGGAAAGTATGAAACCCCAATTTGAGAGAGGTGTATTCTAAGAACCACTAATTATTTCTACGTGAAAATGACGAAGAAAGTCTTAACCAATTCGCCATTACATTTCTTGTCAACCTTCTACAAAATCCCAACTAAAGTCCAAATCCAGCTTCAAGTAGTGAAGCAAGTTAATTTATGGAGTTTCGCAGTAATTAGAGGAACTCAAGTAAGAGACTGACATGTGTGCAATTAATTGGAAAATATTGAAAATAAAAGTGAGAAATATCGCAGTTTTTTCTTAGAATATGTGATCATAACACTAACATAATAAATGTAATTACAATATATGATACCTTGTAATTGGTGCAAAAATCAGATATTTGACAGATATAGGTTTGCATTTAGGGCTCGAAACACTGATTGCCAGGGTGAATTCGTGATTCGAACATTGGAGTATGCAAGGGAAGTTTGATTGCAAGGATTAATAATATGATAACTGAAATTAGACCTAGAAAATAAAATTAGAGAAATTAAATCAATAGAAGAAAAACAATTACTTGGAGGGACGAGATGGAATGCCAGGCGGAGAGGGGCAGCACGCCGTCATCGTTGAAGAGGTTCTGGCGCAAAGAGAGCTTTTTGAGATTAGAGAGGTGAGAAATACGGGGGTCTAACGCCGTCAAACGGTTCGCCGTTAGGTCTAGTTCTGTGAGATTGGGCGGCAGCTCCACCGAGGCAAGATCGCGTAGCTGACAGCTCGTGAGGTCGAGGAACGTCGATTCGGCATCGTTTTCTCCCGCCGGATCTTGATCGTCGGGTCGGGTCGAGGATTCCATGTAAAAGAGACGACGATTGGTCGGAAGAACAACGATTTTGCTCGTTGGTTTTTGTTATGCAAATACAAGGGAAATGGTGAATGGCAAATTGGCAACAAATTGTGCCGAAAAAATTTTAGGCCTCGATACGCGGATTAATTTGGATTCCAGGAGATTGGATTATTGAATTAATTTGAATTTAATGGGATTGGATTAATTTTCTAAACTAGTATTATCTTCTTTTTTTTTTTTGGAGGGGAGTTAAACTAGTATTATCTTTTCTTTTTTTCTACCATTAAACTAGTATTATCTTAAGAGCGGGATAATTATAGTTTTTGTCCATATATTATACACAAAAATCGAGTCCCTATGTTTTCTTTGTCACGATTGTAGCCTTCAAACTAACTATATTTTACAATTTTGGTTTGTTGTTTGATATATGTGTTTTTTTTTTCTATAGACTTTGATATATGTGTTAATTTGGACGGAATAAGTCACGTGTTGAGCACGTGAGCATGCTGAAATAACCCATCGACCCTCTTTTTGCCTCTATTTTCGATTTAGCCCCAATTTCACTTTAACTCTACAGCCGAATCCTAAAAATATAAATCCCGACAAATATTAATCCTAATAAAACCCCAATTTCTGCAGCTCCGCCATTCATACCTTTGGCTTGATTGTTTTATGAAGAATAACAAAGAATTACAAACTAAAACTCAGCCACAACATACGGAGAAAATAATATAAAAAATTCTTAATTCTTTGAATATTTAACATTGTAGCCCTTTCATACTTGGATAACATCAACCATATCTCCAAATCTGCAACAACCATCTTTGCATATGTCTGTGGGGTGTTAAGAAACACAAGAACATGACTTACACCAATATAAAGAAGATCGATCACAAAAACAAGTGAGGAATGTAAGAAAAGATGCAGAGTCTAGATGTAGTAGACACTTTATTTCTAGTAGCACTTTAGGATTAATATGTTTAAATGCGGAGTCATCTTCGTCATTTGATGTTTGTTTTTCTTCTCTCTCTAAATCAAATTAGTATTAATTGAGAAGGTTTCGGGCGATTTTCAACCCCAATTGTCCCCGACCCAGTCTGAGTCTTCTTCTATTAAAAACGGTCGCTTACACTCTTCTTCTTATCTCAAGTCGCCATTGTCGGAACTGCAGCGATGCTAATTATTGCCTTTATTTGGTGGAGAAGGAAAATAGAGGAAGAAGAAGACGATGTGATCAAGGATTGACATATAGCGTTTTAATACTATACAAGTCTTTCTAGGACGAAACTGAAGAATAAAATAAAATTGGGGCTAAATAGAAAATGAAGATAAGAGGGGGATTATTTAAGCGTGCAAAACACGCGAACTAACACCCAAATCAAACGGCTTACCAAAATTGTAAAAACATGGTTAGTTTGAAAACTTAAATCGTGGCAAAAAATATAGGGACTAAAACTGATTTCCTTGTATAACATAGGGACGAATACTGTAATTATCCCTCTTAAGAGCTATTTTGGTTTAGGATGGAGCCAGTTGGAACAAATATTTTTTCTCACTTCATTGCCATAAAAAAAAAGTAGATAATAAATAAATAATAAATAGGTAATGGCATAAATATACTTAATAAAAATCAATATCACACAAACATTAAATATCTAATGTTATAAATATACTAAAGAAAAGTAAGTAAAACAAGAATATGGGAGATCAAATGTAAGGATAATAGAACATTTTTCTTCTTATTCTCTCTTGTATCTTCAAGTGTGTTTTTGTGTCTTACAAAAGTAATCTATTTATAGTACAACTACAAGGAAGATTAATGTCCAAAGAGTTACAAGAGTGTACTTCAATTAAAGACCATTAATGGTTAGTAACTCTTTATTAATTGGACATCCACTTGATGCATATTCAATGCATTTACAACATCTAATTCTCTTTCTTCATTTTTTTTTTGAGAACGAAAAGGACGATTTATATTAATTATGACGTCAAATCAGTGTTTACAAAATGTTGAATCTCAAGAGGTAAAGAATCATCACAAAAATCATCTTGAAAACAGAGTCGAGCAATATTATGTGCTACTCGATTCCCATTTCTTCGGACATGGTTGGCAGAAAAATGCTCAAACGAGTTTGCAAGGGCATGAATATCTGTGATAATGTTTCCGTACATTGACCATTTTTCACATCCGTAACAGATTGTTGCAATAACCACGACGGAGTCTCCTTCAAGAACGATTTTGTTCCATGATCTTCCTTGCGCAAATTCCACCGCTAAGAGTGCTGCTTTTGCTTCAGCCGAGGTGGGTCCAGAGGTTGATTTATACAAATCGAATTCCAGCCCACACACTCGCCCAAATGGGTTCGAGCCACAATTCCTACACCAACACATTCGTCATTTGAGTTGATAGCCACATCAAAATTGATCTTAATCACATTCGTAGTCGGCAGAGTTCAATGAACCTTTAGTGTTCATGTAGAAAGCTGATTCATGAGGACTCGAGCAGCCGAGTGACGCAACTGATCTTCAAATCTTCCAACAAAAGAGATGACCTCCATAACTTCTTTGAGCTCACCCTCGAAAACAAAACAATTTCGCACAAACCAAATAGTCCAACAAATAAGCACACATTTCTCAAAATCCACCACATCGGTCGACCTTTTCATACTCAACAACCACTCTATCATATTATTCCCTTCCACTGATGCACAATCCAGGAAACATTACTAAGAGCCCATACATGCCTCGAGAAAGAGCAGCTGGAAAAACAATGAAATGTATCTTCAACCTCACACTCACACCGACCACAAAAATTATTAACTGTTGTTTTCCTTTTATAAAGATTATCTTTAGTGGGAAGGAGGTTTTTGCAAGCTCTTCATGCAAAGATTGTTATCTTATTTGGGAGATTCACCTTCCATATTCATTTCCACAGAGTCAAGGTGCTGTTATTGAAACTGCTCGACGCATGGTTGGATATCTCATTTTCCAATCGAACTGCGAGATGGTAAGCACTACGAACAAAAAAACGACCATTTTGGTTATAATGCCAAACCTGAATGTCTTTGTTGACTGAACTGTTCATTATCAAACACATAAAATCTCTCACAACGCTCTGCTTCTTCACAAATCCCTCCCTCCCTCCTCCTCCTCCTCCTTCGTCACATCAAACCCTCCAAAAATATCTCAAACACATAAAATCTCTCTAATCTTGTATATTATCTTATTGGCCCTGTTTGGTTGGCAAGATAAGATTAGCCAAGATAAGATTAAATAATCTAATGAAACCCAATTATTTTATTGGAGCTTGTAACGTCCAACAAAAACTTATATAATTTTGGCGGGTCGACCTGGCAATTTATTGGGATACCAAACATCAAATTAAATCCAACTATTTAGTTAATCATGACTTATCTTGGCAACCAAACGGGGCGTTGCATGATTATGAAAGTCAAAGCACTAGATTAAAAAATTCAATTTTACAACACTATCCATATTTATTTTTTATTTATTTTTTGTCAATTTTACCTGTGAACATTAGTTTAAGAGAGGAAATAATACACACAAAATTATTGGAGTGAATAAAACGTTGATCATTAACAAACATTATTAAGACAAAAAAAGATAAATATCTTGAATCCGAATCCTAACAAAAAAAAAAAAAAAATTGAAATCTTACTCCATTATTGAAGATTAAAATTTAAAACTATCATTGGATTGCGACATTTGACAAAGCAGATCCCATGTATATGGCCCGGATTGATCATAACCGATAACATATTTGTTTCTTTGATTAGTCTTATTTAATTTTACTATTTTTTAATACCCTTTTTTTTTTTTCTTTTTTTCTTCTTGTAATAAAAAAAAGTACCATTTTTGTGGTTTTTTATTGTGGGTGATGTGAAAGATGTCACCACGTCTTCCCATTATTAAAGTTTTGATTATTATTTGATGTACTCCACTTTCATGCCATTATCAAATTTTGGGCCTACATGATAATAATGGGAATGCTATGCATAATTGTGTTTCCTTTTACCAACTTATTTATAAGGCAAATTGCACTTCACCCCTAAAAATGCCAACTTTTATATTTTTCCCTTCAAAATACAAAAATGAGACTCACCCTTCAAAATATATAATTTGGTGCGCTTTGTCACAAATGTGCATTTTCGGACTAATTCTCACCGGATTTCAGTAATTAGGAGGGGTATGTCTCTTAAGGCTATAAATATCATTTAACCATCTTCCACCCCAAATTACCGTTGGGCCTCTCTTTTCTCTCCCATATCGAATAACCCAAAAACCATAGAGTTCTTCTTTTCTCCCAAAATTAATTGAATCGGTGGGCAACAACCAGGCGTTCTTCATCGATCGTTCAAACGATTCCTCCAACGTGACAACTTTGTCCATAATTTTATACATTCCTTTGATAATTTTTTTTGTTATGAATATTGGGGGAATTAGTGTCGCGAAGAATTGGGGGTAACTCTTCTACATCGATCTTTTCGTCAATTTGGGAAGTGAATATTGTAGCTTTAAAAACCCTAAGTAACTCAGTAGTGAAAACGAGATTTTAAAGCGAAAAAAGGTAAAATGACATGTACACCCTTAATCGGGCAATAATTAGCTCGAAAATACACATTTTGGGCAAAATGCACCGAGTTATACATTTCAAAGGGGGAGAATCTCATTTTTCAAATTTGAGTGGGAAAAGTACAAAAATGACATTTTTTAGGGGGCGAAGTGCAATTTGCCCTTATTTATATAATAATGGGAATGCTGGTCTTTGAGCCCGCCATATATGACTTTGACTTTGAGACATATAGCAATTATAAGTAACAATACAATGCAAACAGAGTGACTCCATTACAAATAATAGATATTCATATATGGCTGCATAAACATTCCAGGAAATTAAACACCCACTGAGTTTGTGTTTTGTGTGTGTGTGTGAGAGAGAGAGAGAGAGAGAGAGGATGGAGAGCTTTTTGAAGATGCAAAGGGGAGGGGAGTGCGTGTTGGATTTGAGCCCAAGATCGACGGTCGGTGGAGGAGTTGAAGATGTGTACGGCGAGGATCGCGCCTCCGAAGATCAACTCGTCACCCCCTGGACCGTCTCCGTTGCTAGGTACCTACAATATAATAATAATATATGATGCTACACTGATTCTTTTTTTTTTTTTTTTTTTTACCGCTTCGTTTTTATAGTTACCAGTGTTGACCTTTTCTGTTTGTTGCAACAATACAGCATGAAATCAAGCTATATTTTTTGATTTTTTTTACTTTCTGTTTTTTTCAATGGTTTTAACCGTCTAATTGATTGATTATGATATATGGCTGTAGCCTTTGGTTCTTTTTTAGTTGTGTTTATTTTGGCATTTGTCAGCATTTAATTTTTAAGCTAGAATTATTAGGTTGTTTTGAGATAACTGATGGAGTTTCTCATTATCGGAGCCCGGATTTTAAGAGGGTGTTTGGCTAAGCTTAAAATTTATTTTAAACTGCTGATAAGACGTAATACGTCTGATAAGATGGTTTAAGAGCTGATAAGCTGTTACATCTTATTTTAGGATTAATTTTTAGAGTATTTGGATAATGAGCTTATTTCCTATTTTTACTCATCGTAAGATCTTAAATAAAAAGGTGGGTAGATGTATTTTTTTTTAAGATCTTATTTGCTGTTCATCAACTTATTTTATAAAAAATTAAGATTTTTTTTTTTTTAATTACCAAACACTTTGGAAGAACTTATAAGCTCTAAAACATCTTATAAGCACCTTTTAACATCTTATAAGCTTAGCCAAACACCCGCTAGGGGGCCGCGCGAATGCATTAAAAACATTATGAGAGGGGCCGTTATTGCCACTGCACACACCAAAAAAATATATTTCTATATAAATTAATGGTGATTTAAGGAAATGTTGGGGGGGGGGGGGCGGGGGCGCATGGCCCCCACCCCTATGCTGGCTCTGCTACTATTGAACCATTGATCTAAGTTTATATTAGATTTGGATTTGAGATAGATGAACCATTAATTGGTTAACTACTTTGAGGTTAAAATGATCATCTTCTTAAGTTTGCCGATTTTTGTTAATAAAATAGCGGTTATACTATGCTGAGAGACCCCCACCATAACAAGGGGCTTGCGTTTACTGAGAAAGAGAGAGATGCTCACTACTTGCGCGGTCTTCTCCCACCGGCTGTTCTTACTCAAGAGCTTCAGGTTCATTCGCGCGTTCATCAATAGTTTATACATCAATTTAAATCATTTACTAATTAATTTCCTATATTATTTTTATCATACGAACTAATTATTACTATTACTTTATGATCCGACAAATAATAATAATAGGAGAAAAAGCTGATGAATAACATTCGCCAGTACGAAGTTCCCTTGCACAAATACATGGCCATGATGGAACTCGAGGTACGTACTCGTTATAAAACGTACATTTTGTTTTTAGACATTTCTCTATTTTTTTAAATTTTTTTTAAATTTTTTTAATGGGGTTTTAATTAAAAACACAGGAGAGAAACGAGAGGTTGTTTTACAAGCTACTTATTGATAACGTAGAGGAGCTACTCCCAATAGTGTACACTCCGGTTGTCGGAGAGGCTTGCCAAAAATACGGAAGCATCTTCAGGCGTCCTCAGGGTGTGTACATTAGCTTGAAAGAAAAGTACGTTTGTCTGTATCGTCGAATTATTTATATAAATGTCAATTAATTAATTAGTTTTAATTGGCAAAAAAGATGATCAATTTTTTGTATACTTAAAGGGGCAAGATTCTAGAGGTATTGAGAAACTGGCCCGAGAGAGGAATTCAAGTCATTGTTGTCACCGATGGCGAGAGGATTTTGGGTCTCGGTGATCTTGGCTGCCAGGTCATCTTCTTCATTTAATTTTTTATTTCGACATACACATTACAATTCAATTTCGTTTATTTACGAAAACATTTAATTATTGTGTCAAGAGATTTTTTTCCTGACATTTATTAAGGTTATTATGATACAAACAGGGAATGGGAATACCGGTCGGGAAATTGGCTTTGTACACTGCTCTGGGAGGTGTCAGACCTTCCGCGGTAAGCATAATAAATAAATTAATTAATTAATAGCAAAAACCGTATGCCCAAACATGTAATAATTTCTCCATCAGCTTTGTTTCTATTTCTAATATATAAATTCAATTGTAATTAATGTGTAGTGTTTGCCGATAACGATCGATGTTGGAACGAACAACGAGCAGCTACTAAATGACGAGTTCTACATTGGGCTCAAGCAAAAGCGTGCAACTGGAAAGGTTTCATGCTATATCTCTGTTTTTTTCTCGAATATTTGTCCGATAGAAATCTTGTTTGTCTCACTAATGCGACTTTAATGCTTTCCAGGAATATTACGACTTCTTACACGAGTTCATGACTGCTGTCAAACAAAATTACGGTGAAAAAGTTCTTGTACAGTTTGAGGATTTCGCCAACCACAATGCTTTTGAGCTGTTGGCTAAATACGGAACCACCCACCTCGTATTTAACGATGATATACAGGTTTGATGCTTTTTGTTAGCTGTCGTTGTTTTCCAGTTATATATATATATATATATATATATATATATATATATATATATATATATATATATATATATATATTATTTAAATCATTGTCGTGGTGCAGGGGACAGCATCTGTGGTCCTCGCTGGACTCGTTGCATCGCTTAAGCTGCTTGGTGGTTCCTTGGGCGATCACACGTTCTTGTTCCTCGGAGCTGGAGAAGTATATATATATATATTATTCTATTTCCTTTTGTGTATCAGCTCGTGAATATTACTATATCTTTATATGATTTAATAAGCAAGATAGAATGATAAATAAATACCCGGTGAATTTTTTTTAGTCGGATACTCATAAGTTATTTTCTTGCTACTGCAGGCTGGAACTGGTATAGCCGAACTTATAGCCCTTGAAATGTCGAAGCAGGTTATTATTTTTATTTTATTTTATTTTTTGCTATGATTACATATGCATTTGATCACAAGCAATTCTCTGATACTTGATGTTCGGATATTTGTAATAAATAGACTAAAATTCCATTGGAAGAAACAAGGAAAAAGATTTGGCTCGTAGACTCAAAGGTAACTATCACTTATCTAAATTAATTAGTGATTATGATCTGCTTCAGTCATTTGTATATTGTTCTGATCGATGCAACCATGCATGCGTGTCTCGTTTACAGGGATTAATTGTTAAGTCCCGTAAGGAATCTCTTCAACACTTTAAGCAACCGTGGGCTCATGATCACGAACCTGTTAACAATCTCTTAGATGCCGTCAATGTAATTACTTAGTTGATTTTTTCTTTTATATATATATATACTATTTTTATTTTAACCACCGCCTACTAAATTCCGTTACTATTGAAACTTTTATTAGGCTATAAAACCAACAGCTTTGATAGGGACATCTGGTGTTGGAAAACAATTCACAAAAGAGGTGGTCGAAGCTATGGCCGCCTTCAATCAAGTACTCTCTCTCTCTCTCTATCTGATCTCTCTCCTCTCTCTTTGATCTCTCTCTCTCTCTCTCTCAGATTTGTCTAATCTTTGAGATTACATGGTACAGACACCTCTCATCATGGCTCTCTCCAATCCAACCTCACAAGCTGAGTGCACAGCTGAAGAAGCTTACACTTGGACCGAGGTCAGTGCATTACACGTGTCTTCTTATTTTTGGTTTGTCGGGATATCTCTAGTAAATTTAATTTTTTTCTTGAAGTTGACTTTTTTTTTTTCGTTCCTCGTTTTAATTTGCTCAAGGGTCGTGCTATTTTTTCAAGTGGAAGTCCATTTGACCCTGTAGAGTACAATGGGAAATTGTTTGTGCCTGGCCAGGTTCATCTCTCTCCGTTTTATTCGAATTTCTTATAACTAAAATAAACTGTGAGGGCAATCAATATTGATTAAGCTTTTTTTCGCTTCACGTATATATCAGGCAAACAATGCATATATATTTCCCGGGCTCGGTTTTGGGTTGGTCATATCCGGTGCCATTCGTGTGCACGATGACATGCTTCTTGCAGCTTGTAAGTATATTTTTATGTATATATAAGGGTAAATTACAACCACCCCCGAGGTATGGTCAATTTACGAAAAAACCCCTCTTGTTTGGATAATTACATCTACCCCTCAACTATGATTTTTTCTTACACCTCCACCCTTATGGTGTCAAATTCAACATAATGATTTTGTCGAATGTGCTCTAGTTTGTACTCGTTTTGTGTAAAAATACAGTTTCTGATGCACCACAATATGATCTATACAAGCCAAAAAACACATATTATGATCATCTTGCTTCAAAATGTGGAGTTCGAATCAGATAAAACGGGTACAAGTGATAATATTCCATATAATCTCGAAGATTCCGCTAAATTTGAAACCGCAAGGGTGGACGTGTAAGAAGATTTATAGTTGATGGGGTGGTTGTAATTATCCAAACAGGAGGGGTGTTTCCGTAATTTGACCATACCTCAGGGGTGGTTGTAATTTACCCTTATATATATTAAAAAAAAAAATGCTTACATTTTCTTTCGTAGGTTTTTGAGCACTACTTAATCCTTTCGTCATTTTATTCGTAAAACAGCGGAAGCTTTGGCTGGTCAAGTAACGCAGGAGCATTACGACAAGGGAATGATTTATCCTCCGCTTTCCAACATACGAACAATCTCAGCTCACATTGCTGCAAATGTAGCTGCTAAAGCATATGACCTTGGTTCGTATAAATTAGCATTTTCTTTCTTGCATTATTTTACACGTACAATGAAATATATTTCTGATTGACAAAATATTTAAATTGTATGTATACGTAGGTTTGGCAACACGGCTTCCTCGACCTGCAGATTTGGTGAAGTATGCTGAGAGCTGCATGTACACTCCAAACTACAGAAACTACCGTTGATCGAAGCATTGATCTGAGATCGATCGACGTGAATAATCGTTTTTCGTATTTTGTTTTCGAGCATATTCCATGTTTGTATTTGTTGTGTCTTAATTCTGCTATTACATATATGTTCAAGTTTCATGATCGAGTGTTGTACGTTGAACGGAATATATCTCATGTACTTTGTATTTATGAATTATATTAATAATCCTTCGTAAAAAAAAAAAAAGAAAGAAAGAAGAACCAGTATGCTGCCCATGTGTAATCATGCACTATCGAAAAGTCTCGTGATATAAAAACTCACTCAAACCTTCCTCTAAATAGTTTTAAATAACATACTCGAACCAATTTGCAAATTACACGTTGACCTCACGTGAAAAGACAGAAATACCCCGAGGGTATTTTTGCAAAAAATACATAATTAAAAAGGAACCACAAACCAAACATAGAGGAGGTTGTGCAACGTTGTTTTGGCAGCTGCGTGGAGAGGTTTATGTGCACGTGACCGCTGATTCAAAGTTGCATAAAAGGGGGTGCTCGGCTATACCGGCAACCGATTTCTGAGTAATTTGTAGTGTAGATAGTTTTAGATTAAAGTGCCCGCATGGGTGTAGCTCAACTGGTTCCGGAGGTGGTAAGTTGGTGCAAGGTCCTAGGATCGAATCCTGGCAGCCGCAGTGTCGGAATTTCAACTCCAATGAGGGTTGGTTCCTTGTGGGCACCAGGTCCGGGTCCGCTACCTTAACGGGCCGTTGAGTTACCATGATTTACATTCCTCCATCAATCCTTGTCGGGCCAAGGGATGGGGGCCCTGGGGGCGAGGGATTTCGCCTTTTCATGATTTACATTCCTCCATCAATCCTTGTCGGGCCAAGGGATGGGGGCCCTGGGGGCGAGGGATTTCGCCTTTTGGTGCAAGTTTTAGATTAAAGTATCTTAACTTTACTTGACTTGCAGCTCAAGTTTGTTGAACTATTCATCAATATAATTCATTTGCAGAATTTTGTTTACAAGTTTCTTCTATGCAATGTATCCAAATTTATAACACATGGTAATCAAAGCGACATTCTTTGAGAAATCTATGTGATACGAATTATTATTTAATATATTATTTAATTATTAGTTTAGTTAATAGTTAATTATTAATTATATAAAATAGTATATTTAGCATATATATTTATATTTATATAGCCGTCTGTTTAGTAATTAGGAGATTATTAAGTATTTAATTAGTATAGGTAATTATCTTTCCTAGTTAGATTAGGATTCTAGGGTTTTATTCTCTTTAAATAGTCGTCTTGTGCTAGGGTTTTATAATGAAGAGAAATAATAAACAAGAGTTTTCTTACGTTCAGTAAAGAAATCTTATGATACACAAGAGATCGTATCACTATGATGACAAGAAGCCATCATCGTACCACCAGAAGGTAAGAGACAACAAGAGAAGAAGCAGAGTCAATTATGGAGGATCTACTAGCTTAGAATGATGACCAGAAATCATCACTGTGCTATAGATTAATATAACAATATTACTACGTTAAACTTTAATATAACTTTGTTTAACAGTAATATAGTTAATATTACTGTCAACCACAACAATATTGCGGTTTAAATGGGGCAAAAAGATGTTAAAGAAAAAAAAATTAAAAAAAAAAAAAAAAAAGTCATAGCCTCAACGCCGATCAATGCCGGAAAGTAGGAGTGAGTTCGGGACGGGATTTCGGGAATTCGGAATTTACGGGATTGGGATTTTGAGATTCAGGATAGAAATTTTAAAACCTAATTCCGTCCCATACTATTAAATCCTGGTATATTGGTATCCCTAAATATTTCGGGAATTCAGAATTGAGAACGGGAAATCCCGTATTTTGCCTAGAAAGTAAGAAATATTGCATTTTTTTTTCCATTAGTATTATTTTATACTCTAAACCAACTTGAATATTATTTTATACACACTATTGTTCTTGCACTATTTAAATTTGAAGAAACTCGGAACAAATAAAATTTAAAAATAAGTTGAAACGATCGATATATTATATTGTATTCCTCATCTCCTTGACACTATATATAAATTATAGATGCAATCTACTATAGAAAAAAAGTTAAACAACCATTGTTTTTTTTTCCCACACAAAAGTTAGAATACTCACGGGCACACCACACACCAAAAGAAATAAAAAATAGAAAAAAGAAAATGATTGTCTAAATTATATATATATATATATATATATATATATATATATATATATATATATATATATATATATATATATATATATATATATATATATATATATATATATATATATATATATATATATATATATATATATATATATATATATATATATATATATATATGTGTGTGTGTGTGTGTGTGTGTTTATTAGTTTTTTTTTTCTTTTTTCCCTAGTTCAGGATTAAAATATCCCGACCGGAATTGAACCAATTCCCGAAGCCCATTCCCGTATTTGTTCCTAATCCCGACCCCGAAACCCGTAATCCCGAAGTTTTAGTCCCAAATAGTAAAATTTCGATCGGGACGGTACGAGATCCCGATCCCAAATGCCCATAGCCCTACCGGACAGCAGCCCAAAAATCAGGAAGAAAATAAAATAAAAAAAAAGTCAACGCCGGAGACCGGCAGTCAACGGCGGTGATGAGCGAAATTGTACTCAAAATTGAGTTTTTGGTCAAAATTGAATAATTTGTGAGGTTAAATTAAATTAAAGAATGAACATGTGATAGACTATTTTAGTCTTTTATACACCTTTTGAGTCTTGACAATATGTGGACTATTTTTGTAAAAAAAGAAATTTGGTCTGAACCCTTTTATGAATAGGTATCTATTGATGAAATTATTTGTAATATGCCCAATTACTAATTAAATAACTTTTGTTATATATCATACAGTTACACATGGAAGGTGGGATCTTCTCTAAATATTAAGAATCCTTAAAGATGGAAAATACGTATGCGAAAAAAGAAAATCAACCTATTGTACGTAATCGAAATAAGTTTATTTGCAAATCCTAATTGGAAAGGGTAATAATCTACGACTCCCCTATATAAAGGAGTCTTGCATAATTTTTTGAGTAGTACGTTGCCATAGTTTATTAGACGCAGGAGGAAAAAGGCAAAATCAGAAGACAAAAAAAAAAGAAAAAAAAAAAACCTCCATGGATAGAATATCCGAGTTGCCGGAAGACATCTTGCAGAGAATACTTTATTTCCTGCCACAAAGTGCAGCTGTCCGAACATCTGTACTGTCCAAGTCATGGCGCCATATTTGGTGTACTCGTTCCAATCTTTCGTTCTCACAACTCAACTCCAAAGTTAACGAACAAGAATTTCTAACCGTTGTTGACAAGACTTTACGGCGATACTGTGATCAAAGGTTGTGCATAGATGAAATCCTCCTTTGCATGTTTTCGTGTCACGAATTGGTTTCGCTTCTCGATAAATGGATCCCGTTACTCGCAACCATTGGCGTGAAGGAGTTTTGTCTTTTTATTCTTTCGAAAGATCGTAATCTTTCGGAAGACGATAATCGGGACTCCTTGGATCTTCGCGTAGTCTTTAAAGCCGAATCTCTCAAGATTTTGGGTCTGCAAAATTGCACTTTGGCCAAAGTAGTCCCGAAAATATACCCTTTGTGCGTCTACGAGTACTCCGACTCTCCGACGTCTTGATCAAGAACGAGATCTCCGACAAGATACTCTCGAGCTGCCCTTTGCTTACTACTGTGTGCTTCCACGAGTGTCAAGGGTTGAAAACTCTCAAGTTCGATAAGAAGCTTCACAAATATCTCACGCAATTCGCTTTTGTTAAGCACACGGCACACACAGTAGAAGAATGCAGCATCGAAATCGACGCCCCGGCTCTTGAAATAATCGACGTTTATGGCAGTAAGATTCGATTTCACGGCCATAATAGTAATCTCAAGTCTTTATCTCTATTGAATGTGGAAATCTGCAGCAATTCGTTGGCGGCCGAACAATCTCAGATACTACATATTGATGCCCCAAACATAACGTCTTTTGAATATTTGGGTGTCGTTATACCATCCATCTCTTTCGCACCAACTTCCGGGAGGTCAAATTTAGAGCTATATATGCGGGATGATGATGTAGACGATGCTCAGTCGTGGTTATTGAGACTAAGTAAACTTCTACATGCTTTACGTAAATCCGAAATCCACCTCGATATTGCTCAACTTAGCAGGAACTATGTGCACATCCAAGAAGACATTATTATTAATGGCGGTAATAATGAACCTGTTGTGGTGGAGCATTTGCAATTCAGTATTGGTAATTTATATTCGTTTCCATCTGTTTTAAATGGTTTGTTTTGTATTTGTCGTCCGAGAAACATAACTCCGAGCTGGTTCTCGCACGAAAGTAATTCCAACAAAGAAACGGAACTGAAGAAACTCGGCCAGTTTTTCCGCAATATCGAAAAGATGAGAGAGAGTGGAAACCAAGAAATCTGGCGTGATTTGAAAGATTTAACTCTTGAAGGATTTGACGAGAGCCGACAACAGTGGCAGGTTTTACAAGTGACGAGGTTGTCGGAATCTCCACTGCCGGACTTTGATCGTTTTCGGGTTCGATTGCAATGGAGTGATCGAATACAAGATTGTGACTCCACTTCTAGGATTTTAGAATCATAGGCCACAAATCACAGTCCTTTGTTTCTCTGTCTACTTATACGATTTCTGTGGATTGTTGTTTCAGTTCGTATTTTTAGTTATGTGTTTTATTATTATTTTTTTTTTATAAGTAGTTATGTGTTTTATTAATTAACCTTGATTTAATGAACTTTGATAAATTCGAATTGGTGTAATGGTATGGTTAGACTTGTATTGAACTTGTTAGAGCATCTCCAAGGGCGAGTGCTAAAAAATGTGATGCTATATATATTATATCCTGTGAATAGTGTTTTACATGTTCATTTTTAACCCTTCTACTACAATCACATTAGCTATATTACAGGATTTTATTTTATTATATTATTTTTCAACCATTTCAACTTTATCATGATAAAATATAGTATTAACTTTTGTGACTTTTTGATTATTTTAAGAGATTAAATTCTGAATGGATAAGCCGATATTTAATATAAATCGGATTTCACTAAATTTTTGACATGTGACACTTTTAAGTCTTATGCTGGTTTTTTTTTTCTTTTTTTTTTTCAATTACTAGAATACTAATTATATTTTTATTTATATTATCCACGTGTCAATCATCCTATGGCACCCGATTTTTCTATTAAAACAAACTATCCGGTCTAAATTTGCACCCTTATTTTAATATTATTTTGATTTAGCAGCCATGAATAGGAACAACTATAGATAGCAGCTTGGGTTATCATTTTACATGGCCATCTAAATTTTACATGACCCGTTGGAGATGGATTTTTTGTTGATAAATGGTATAATCTGTAAATTATAGCTTTTAACAGTCCAAAAAGGCCATAATTGGAAATGCCCTTTCTTGAAACTTATAACTAACACATCAAAGTTTATTAATTTATCTTGGTACGATCTCTAGGACTTTCGGTTTTTATAAACAAATTAGATCAATTTATACAGTTGCGGTTGGTTTTGAGATTTTGGAGGAAGTGTGCTTGTAGTTGTGTTGTTATTGTTGTATTGCTTTTGCTATTGTTAATACTAGTGGAAACGTTAAAGCTAATATGCTAATGTTAATGCAAATCATAATAGTAATTCTAATGCTAATGTTATCCTAATGTTAATACTATTGTTAATACTAATATTGATACTAATACTAATACTAATTATGTATACGAATACTAATTCAAACACTAATACCAATACTATTACGGATACTAATACTAATAGAAATACTAATTACAGCGCCGTTAACTCTTTTTTTGTTTTTTAATATTATTTTTTCTTTAAAAAAATATTTTAATTAATATTACTGTCTTTGCTGCTAAACTACTGTCTCCAGCAGTTATTTAACTGTTAGAGACAGTAATAATTTAACTGCTAATTGACTTCTTCTTTTTTTTTCTTACAAAAATATTTCAATTAATATTACTGTCTTGGTTGCTAAATTACTGTCTCCAACAGTAATATAACTGTCTGAGACAATAATTTAAATGTTCATTGACCTTTTTTTTTTTTTTTTTTTTTAAATTTTGCTTTTTCTTAAAAAAAATTATTTTAATTAATATTACTGTCTTGACTGCTAAATTACTGTCTCCAACAGTATTCAACTGTCTGAGACAGTAATTTTTACTGTATTAAATTAATTTTATCATTTTGGCCTGCAATTTTGCAGTCTTTGAAAGTAATATTACTGTCTCCGACGGTAATATTACTATCTCATTCAATAATATTACTGTTTGGGACAATAATATTAGTAACATTATTGTTCGGGAAAATAATATTCATAATACTAGTGTCCCAAACAGAAAATACTTTTTTTAAGGAAAAAAAAAGTCAATGCCGGAGACCGGCGGTTAACCGGCCGGAAAACAAATTCAGAAAAAAAAAGTTTTCAAAAAAAAAAGTCAAACGCTGGAATCTTGTCGGAAAAAAAAGTTATTTTTTGAAAAAAAAATATTTTTTCAAAAAATTATTAAAATGTGGGTTAGTGTGATATATTTGTTTAAATCCGGGTCAATGTGTAATATTGAGGAAGGTAGAGTATAATGGATGAAATTAATAAAAATGATATTATGGATAGTATTTTAGACTAAAGAGATAGGATGAGTTTATTTGAAAGACTGTTATCTGTACTGTAGAGTGTAGACCAATATGCATTTAAGTCCCTTTTCATGTCCCTATTTAAGGAAATCTATATTCTTCGTTGGAGGAGACGTCTCGATACTTCTCTTTTCTAGTATGTGAAAGGTGTATTGTATTTAATTAAAAAAAAAAAAAGGAATTTCCTTATCGAATAGTAAATCCCATATCAACTAAAACTCTAGTAATATTTATGACAAAATAATTAAAAGTCCTATAATAAAATATTTATTCATTTGTAGCACGGTTCCAAGACTTGTGAACCAAGTCACCTAGTATTTTAATTATTAGAAATCTAATAGGATTCAAAAGAGATATCTGTAACCAAAAGAGAAATCTTAACGAGAGAGACACCGGCGGCTGAAAATTGTTATGAATTCTAATGTTATTTCACTGGAGAAGAAATTAAAGAGAATAAAGGTTTATTCATATATATATATATATATATATATATTGTGTGTGTTAGTGTAAAATTGTACTCTCTGTGCTATTAAATTAAATACTTGCTTATATGGTACAGATGACGTTGCACCATATTTATGCTAGAAACAACAGCGTTGATGATTTGAAGAATTTGCTCGATTCGTGGAAAGCCGCTTTGGAAGCTACGAATGCTGTACGTACAACAAATCAATAATAAATCAATTGTTTACTTTTGCTTTGTTTCAATTCAACTAATTAAGTGATTTTCATCTTACATTGTGCACATGCAGAAAGGTGAGACCCCATTGCACGTTGCTGCTAAGAATGGATGTAACGAGGCAGCCAAGATGCTTCTCGACTACGGTGCCTGTGTCGATGCAACAACAGATGTGCTGCACTATTTTATTTTCATCTTTTTTTTTTAATTTTGTAAAATCAATATTTGACGGTTAATTTCTTGCAGAAGTCGGAGACTCCGTTACATTTTGCTGCTGATTATGCACAAATTTCTGGCAAAATCTCGATCGTGAATACGTTGTTAAAGTACAAAGCTGACCGCTCCGCAAAAGACAGTGTATTTTAATGTTTTCAGTTCATGATATATGTTCGGTTTTGATAACATTTCAATTGTTTATTTTTAGTACTGAACTTATTATTATTATTATGATTATTGCGTGCAGAATGGGAGGACTGCCCTACACTATCTTCGAGTAGGAAATCAAGAACTAAAAAAACTCCTTGATCAAGATAATGTTGCTATAAAACAGATTGCCTTAGCAAATAATAGTAACCCTGTAATTGATAATGGCAGTGGAATGAAAAGAACGGCGTACGATGAGAAGATGGATGTGTTTGAAGATGAACTATCGAAGATAGTGGGATTGGATAAGCTGAAATTACGGTTGAGGACATGGGCAAAGGGTATGCTCATGGACAAGATGCGTCGAGCCGCGGGGATCAACCTCGGACCAAGAAAACCGCCTCACATGGTATTTCTAGGAAATCCCGGGACAGGTAATTTAGTTATTTTCGTTAATTCCCCTGTTTTAACGAGACTTATTGTTTAGCATGCATATCAACTATTTCTTGTTCAGGTAAGACAACCGTAGCACGAAGCTTAGGCAAAATACTCCAATCTGTCGGTGTGCTTTCTTCTGATAAAGTGACAGAAGTTCAAAGAACCGATTTGGTAGGAAAGTACATTGGTCAAACGGGACCCACGACTAGAAAAAAAGTATGGAGTCATTTATATATGATGATTCATGAAATTCCGGTTTGTTATGTATGTGAATGTTCTTCTTATACCAATTGATGTTTGATTACAGATTGAAGAGGCTATGGGTGGTATTTTATTAGTGGATGAAGCATACCGTTTAGCACCAGTTCGGTCGTCGGGTAATTCCCAAGATTTTGGTATGGAAGCTTTGGAAGAGATAATGTCTGTGTTGGAAGATGGGAATATTGTGGTTATTTTTGCGGGCTATACCGAGCCGATGAAGCGTGTGTTCTCTTCGAACGAGGGTTTCTGCAGAAGAGTGACTCACTTCTTCCACTTTGACGATTTTTCATGCAAGGATCTTGCGGAGATGGTGATGATAAAGATGAGTAAGCAAGCCAAGAAGAGCCGATTGTACGGATTTAAGCTCCATTCTTCGTGTACTTGGGATGCTGTTCTACAAGTGATAGAGAATAACTCCACTGAGAAGATTCGGAATAAACTGAATGGAGGTTTGGTAGATCATATGCTGAACAACGCTAGAGAAAATCTTGATTTGAGGCTGACTTTCGATTCTAAAGGCGACGAACTATCCACAATCACATTAAGTGATTTGGAGGCTGGACTAAAAATGTTATCAGATGGAGTCAATGTTGACTGAAAGATAGATCAAACTGATGTCTTATGTGTGGTTCTATAGATATTAGATACACATAAGGCCAACTGTCTAACCTTTTCGAGTAACCACCTAGCACGAAAGGTACATTGTATCGTATTTGTTTGGGCTTATGAGCAAGTTTAAGTTACTGGGAACTTCATATTTTAGTATTTTAGTGAGTTGATTATATGAACAAAGTGATATAGGAGATGAAGTGAGAGGTTGGTGGAGGTGGAAATAACACTCAAATGTTTTTTTTTTTTTTTTGGTTTGAATATTGCAACTGAAGTATCAGCGCGCGAGATTGAAGAAGGGCTCCCTCGCTCGCTCGACCACCTTTCCGTCCATAACCACAGCTATCGACTCCAAATTCTCGATGGTGTATTGTCTGGTCCCATGTAACCGCTCTCGCTATTGCTATTCTCTGTTTCCGACCCCCCGACAACTGCACTCCCTCTCTCGGCACTCCGTTTTTTTATCCATTCTTCAATCCACTCCAAAACACCAAAAGAAAAAGAAAAAAAACATTATAAGATAGTCTATTGGGATGTTTTGATAACTCTCTTTTACCTGGCTTTTATTGCATTCGGCACCCCTGTGTTTTTACTAATTGTTATAAAAAAAAAATGCATATTATTTTATTGGCGAAAACCCTCAGTGAAATTGGAATTCAGTATGCTTGTATCTGAGATATATTCATGAATACCAATGGATTACACCTACTACATAAATATATATACTCTGATCATATTTAATAAGATGACAAAAGTTTAATCAATAAAATTTAGTCTCAGTGAATTGTGGTTCATCATCATATAATCTCTCTGCTATTAAATACTTGCTTCGGGTGCATATGGTACAGAAAGGGGAGACGGCATTACACGCTGCAGAAGGTGATGCGGCAGAAGGGTACACTTTGAACAATAAACTGCTTTGTTTGACAAATATATAAACTCCGTGCCGTATACGGTTAGAAATCCCTACAAGTCTACTTTTCAACAAAGAAAACGGTTTACAAAACAAAGGTCTCAGGAAGAAGTTATGGTCTGTTTGGTAGAACCTGGCAACTGCACTCGGGAAGTTTGACAGCTTGGTGTCTTTTGGTATTTCTGAAAGTTTTACTTATTTTAATTAATAATATATTTTCGATTTATTATTCTTGTTATCACTTTGTCATATTCTATGTATTTCATGAAATATGAAGTTGAGAAGTCATTCAATGTTTTAATTTTCTATGTTTCGGAGGGATGTTCCAAAACTCCTATATAAACCCTATCAATGAATAAAATCTGTACGGGTGTTTAAGTTTAGTAATAATTTGCTAGTTTATTGCACTGAGAGTAATTCCTCTGTACAAGTGATTCGGCGATTTGTAACGTCGAGTGAGGCTGCTGCCGCTGGTTGAGTGATTCCCGGTCATCTACCTTTTTTTCAGTTCTCTTTTACGATGCGGGGATTGCCAAATTAAAATCATAATAACCCCGTAAATGATAATGTGGAAAACTTGCAAGGGACAATGAGTAATGACAGTGGAATAAAACGAAAAATGTACGATGAAAAGATGGGTGTGTTTGAAGATGAACTATCAAAGATAGTGGGATTGAATAAGCTCAAAATACGGTTGAGGACATGGGCAAAGGGAGTGCTCATGGACGAGATGCGTCGAGCCGTTGGGATAGACCTCGGACCAAGAAAAAAACCTCACATGGTATTTCTAGGAAATCCCGGGACAGGTGATTTTGCAATTTTCGTAAATTCCCCTGTTTTGACGAGACTTATTATTTAGCATGCATCTTCAACTATTTCATGTTCAGGTAAGACAACCGTAGCACGAATCTTAGGCAAAATACTCCAATCTGTTGGTGTGCTTTCTTCTGATAAAGTGACAGAAGTACAAAGAACTGATTTGGTAGGAGAGTACATTGGTCACACTGGAACCAAGACTAGAAAAAAAGTATGGACTCATTTATATATGATGATTCATGAAACTCCATTTTGTTATGTACGTTGTTAGTGTTCTTCTTATAACGATTGATGTTTGATTACAGATTGAAGAGGCTATGGGTGGTATTTTGTTCGTTGATGAAGCATATCGTTTAGCACCTGTGCGATCGCAAGGTCATTCCCAAGACTTGGGTGTCGAAGCATTGGAAGAGATTATGTCCGTGTTGGAAGATGGGAATATTGTGGTCATTTTTGCAGGCTATACCGACCCCATGAAGCGTGTGTTCTCTTCAAACCCGGGGTTCTGCAGAAGGGTGACTCACTTCTTCCACTTTGACGATTTTTCATGCAAAGATCTTGCGGAGATGTTGACGATAAAGATGAGTAAGCAAGACAAGAAGAGCCGATTGTACGGATTTAAGCTCCATTTTTCGTGTACTCATGACGCTGTTCTTCGAGTGATAGAGAAGAACTCCACTGAGAAGCTGCGGAATAAAATGAATGGAGGTTTGGTAGATCATATGCTGAACAATGCTCGAGAGAATCTTGATTTGAGGCTGACTTTCGATTCTAAAGGCGATGAACTATCGACAATCAAATTAAGTGATTTGGAGGCCGGACTTAAAATGTTATCGGACGGAGTCAATGTTGACTAAAAGATCGATGAAACTGATATTATCCTAATTTAGATTTGTTATTCAAAGAAGATTACTCAATTCAGCCTGCAGAATAAATTTCTTATTAACATAGATCAAATAAGTGCTAAATTAAAGAGGACGCGATACACCGCCTTGAATGGCAACGCTGATGCTAGCGAAATTGAAGAAGGCACCCCTCTTGTTTTTGAGCTGGCTATAGCTCCCTCGTTCGACCACCTTTCCGTCCATAACTACAGCTATCGAGTCCAAATTCTTGATCGTATTTAGTCTGTGGGCAACCACCACAGTTGTCCTTCCCACCATCACTCTGTCCAACGCTTCCTGCACAAGTTGCTCCGATTGCACATCAAGCGCACTTGTCGCTTCGTCGAGCAACAGTATTATCGGGTCCCGTATAATCGCTCTCGCTATCGCTATTCTCTGCTTCTGGCCCCCCGACAACTGAACCCCCCTCTCTCCGCACTCCGTTTCGTACCCATTCTTTAATGCACTGCAAAGCAAAACATTATATTATAAGCTTTCGTTGAAAAATGTTTGTGTGATAACTTCTTATTTGTTTATTGCATTCAACACGTCTGTGTTTTCTCTGATTGTTAAAAAAATTCCCCCTACGATTTAATTTTTCGAGCAACCTACCTCTTAAGAAACATATTTGCTAGGAGGTCGTATCCTAAAAAAATATGCATTATAAGGGTTTTTTGCTAATATTTATAACACGGGATTTTTTTTATCAGCAATTCGATATAACAGAGGGGTACTGAATGAAATAAACTCAACTTCTTATTACCAGATAAATTCATGAGCATTTGCTGATCTGGCAGCCTCGACGACCTCATTCTCCGAGGCATCAATCTTGCCTAGCAATATGTTGTCCCTAATGCTGCCTGAATATATCACCGGGTCTTGGCTAACAAGTGCCATTCGTTTACGGTACCACTCAATATCCAACAACCTTATTCCAACTCCATCAACCTTAATCGAACCACAATCAACGTCGTAGAATCTCTGGATCAGTGCTATCACCGTCGATTTCCCACACCCACTTTTCCCAACAAGCCCAATGTTCGTTCCTTCTTTCACCTCCAAGCTAAAATCACGTAGCACAAGCGTTTGTGGCCGCCCCGGATACGCAAAATCAACCCTTTTAATTTCTATCCCACCCCTCATTTTCTCTAGCTTCATTCCCTTGTTCTCATCATTATCTCCACCCTAATATATATCAAAATTAGCACTAATAAAGACAAACAATATAGTTCAGTTAATTACAGTTAAACCTCTATAAATTAATACAGTTGGGATCAACCAAATTCTATTAATTTATCTAAATATTTTTTAGCATGTCGTCCTCGAGCCTATTAATTTATCCAGACTGTATAGAGAAAGGAAAAGATTTTTGGTTTACTTACATTATATGATCCTAGGATTAGTGACTGTCTGTCGAGGATTGCGAATATAGACGCAACAGCTGCCGATCCCTTAGCCAGATCAGAAGTCATACTACCAGCTTCGGCGACAACTTTTCCGGTGCTCACCAAAATAAAGAACGTTCGAAAAACATCCCCTGCAGATATTTCTCCTCTGTTCACTAATGTTCCTCCATACCAAAAATCCAATGCCCAACAAATGAACGTGAGGCCTTGGGCCGAACCTATGCCCGCCCCAGCTAGCCAAGATTTCTTTCTCGCCTCCTTCCTCGGCTCGTCCTGCGCTTCGTCGAATATCTCTAGAACCTTCTGGATGCTTCCGAACGATGTCACCGTTCTGTGGTTGTAGACCGCCTCAGCAGCGATCTGAGTGCTCTTATTCTGCGCTTTGACGAACTTGCCCGTAATTGTGGAGAGTATCACTTTTCGCGTGTAGAAACAGAAAATCGTCAGTGGCTGCACCGCAATCATTACAAGCGCGAGTTTCCATGCGATGATTAGACCGATTATCATTGCAGTTGTTACGGCAGAGGTTGTCTGAATGAGGAGGGAGAGCCTGTCGGCTATAATTGACTTCACCATCGAAGCCTCGTTGCTCAGTCGGAAGCACAGTGCGGCGCTCGAGTTCTGCTCCTGGTCGAACCATGCAGCTTCGAACGTAAGCATTTTCTCGAGCATGCGAAGTCTTATTCTTCTCGTGAGGCACTCTCCCATGTAGGCGAAGTTGTAGTGCTGGCATAGGTTTAGCGTGATCGAGACGAGGCAGAGCGAGCTGAAAACGAGAGCGTACCTCTCGATACGAGCTTGCATTTCCGCGTGGCTTTGTGAGAAAAAAGCCGAAATCATGCCTCCGATAGTGAGTGCGTAGAGTGGCTGCACTGTGCCGAAAATTACGGCTGAGAGGCTACCGATTACGGCTTGTTTCCATTCGGGGGAGTTTAATGAGAGTAGCCTATACATGGATGGGGGAGGATAATTATTATTATTATTATTGTTGTTGTTGTTATTGATAATAGACAATGGTGAAGCAAAAGAGGCAGGGCTTGATCTTCTTGAAACACTGCTTCTTGCGGCGGAAGAGAAACGGGGTTCGACAATGCTTTGGTCTTGATCGAGTGCACTGAATTGTCTTTGAAGTTTTGCCAATCTTGCGTAGTGGCCGTTTGTTTTGATTAGATTGTTGTGGCTGCCGATTTCTACTATACTGCCGCCACTTACGACTGCAACCACGTCTGCGTTTCTGATCGTTGAGAGCTTATGGGCGACAACCTGATTAAATTTCACACAGATTTCATGGTCAGAAGTAGGGGTGCAAATTGGAACGAAGTTTCCAAATTCCGCATTTCTGATTTTGAAACAACATTTTTTATTCTCAATTCGGATTTTTTTTTTTTTTGGAACGGAATTGGCGGAATACATATAATGATTCCGATTTCTGATCCTATTATATTTACGAAATTTTCTGATTATTTTCTGAAAATTAAACTTATGTTATATGTGACTAAAATATTGGAATTTCCAAATCCCGCCTATTCCAATTTGAAAATTTCCTATTTTGGAACAAATGTTGTCATTCCAATTTCCAAAATTCCAATTTTTTTTAAAGGTAACTGAAATTAGTTTTTCACTTTTGAAAAAAAATTGGATTTTTTTTCACGAAAGTGACAATTGCGATCCGATCGGTCTGATTTCACCCTTAGTCATAAGAGATAAATTTTATTTATTTTGGACAGACAACAACAACATAGGTTAGTACATACCAGTGTTGTTCTGCCCATGGATGCTTGATCTAGAGCATTTTGAACAAGCGTTTCGGATTCAGAGTCGAGCGCACTCGTTGCTTCGTCGAGGAGAAGAATCACCGGATTTCTTATAATAGCTCTAGCAATCGCAATCCGCTGCTTTTGTCCACCCGATAATAGTGATCCTCTCTCACCAATCTTCATGCATAACAAAATAATTATTATTGGTAATAACATTCATAAATACTAAACTTATATAGAGCTAGTTAAGAAAAATAAACATATATAGCAATAGCATGAACAACTGACCTTAGTCTCGTACCCTTGTGGAAGTTGCCGGATGAAATTATGAGCATTAGCAGCCATGGCGGCAGCCACCACATCATCCATGGTGGCGTCGAGTTTTCCGAACAAGATATTTTCTCGGACCGAAGTTCCGAACAAGGCATGTTCTTGGCTAACAAGTCCCATTTGCTCTCTCAGCCATTTCAATTGAACTGCTCTTATGTCAACACCGTCAATGCGCACCGATCCGCCACTTGCATCGTAGAATCTTTGCACTAACGCAATCGCCGTTGATTTTCCACTTCCACTTGCACCTACTAGAGCTACCGTTTTCCCCGCCTCGATTTTGAGGCTGAAGTTGTTGAGTACAAGTGCGTCCGGGCGGGAGGGGTACGTGAATTGGACGCGCTCGAATTCGATTTCTCCTCTTATTTTTTCCAAGACGAGTCCGTTATTTGTGTCGATTTGTGGGATTCGGTCGATTCTTTGGAATATTCTCGATGCTGCAACTGATGCTTCGGTGAAGTATTTCACTTCAGGTAGTGCCACTCCTAGCGCTCTGCATGCGTATGGTATTTTATACTACTTATTAGAAACCGAAACCAAAAACGAAGTTGTTAATAATTTTCTATTGTAATTTCTTGAAAATGTATTCTTCTATTTTTTGTGACGATTTTTTTTTACGACACGACCCTTAATTAAATGGTGCGATTTTAGAGGTCGGATTGATAATAAAATTGAATCAAGGCATGCAAAAGATAACGTACAGTCCACCCAAGACGAACGAGACGCCGGCTGCATAAATTCTCCCGCCACTTTCACCTTTGTACATAATCAAACGGCTTCCGTACCAAGCAAGCAAACCCCATATTGCGAATGAAAGTCCAGTGCTTCCGATTGCAAGCCCTTTCGCAATTCCTTGCTTTATTCCTAGCTTTTTAGCACCGTCTAATATCGACGAATACTTTTCAATAATGCTCCTTTCTGCAGTAAATGCATACACCGTCTTAATGGAGCTCAACGCCTGCCCCACTATAGTGTTCGCTTTCGCGTACTCGTTGAAGCTCTTCTTCGATAGATACACAAGGTATTTCCCGTATATCAAGCCCGGAATTATTAAGAGAATGATTGTCGGAAATGCCACTAATGCTAGTTTCCACGAGAAGTAGGCCGAGAATGCAAGTCCCGATACGAACATTGACATGTTCATCAAGAATATCGGCACCTACATATATATTAATGGATTTAACATATATAATTAATGCAATTGGTGATTAATTATATATTATATATACCTTCTCACTAAGGAGTTCTTGTATGAGAGAAGTGTCTTTGGAGATGCTGTTTATGATTTCAGAAGTAGTTGCTTCTTGTGAATCGAAGAAACCGACTTCTTGCTTAAGAACGGCTTCCAAATACTTGTAACGAATCCTTAAAACTTGTCGTTCGCTTGTTTTGCTCCAGCAATAACCTTCTGCAATTATTTATATAATTTATATTTATTTTTTTCTAGCTCCCAAGTTAATTAAAAACCATGGCAATCAGAATTATCACTAGTAGAAAAATTGATTTTTACTACGACCTTTAACCATAATAAAAGGTATCAAATTCGTAGTAAAAACGATTTTGCTATGCATTTGCTACAATTTTGCCTCGTAGCATATACGGCCGTAACAAAAACTTTGCTACGGTAAATGTCCGTAGCAAATACTGATTTGATACGGTAAATTCTAGCATTTACTATGACTCCAAGATTGTCCCGTTGTAAAAGGTACCTTTTGTAAAGGTTTTTTTACTTTAGCAAAAAACAATCGTACTAGAAAACCATTTTTTTACTAGTGTACGGATTAAAAATTTGCAAGGCTGATAAATAATTAATTTGTTTTCCCAATTTTAGTATAGATATAATGATATATAGTCTTGATAATTAGTTATATATGCCATGCAATTTGAAAGAAATAATTAATATAATATAATGAAGAGAAAAGCAATAAAATTGATGAAAAGAAGTACCCATAAATGCTACTGCCATGACTGCTAGTCCCAAGTATACAAAGTATAAACTGCACTGTTAACAAAATAAATATCAAATCAATAATTAGTAAAAGCAACAACTCATTCAAATTTGGTTAAGTGATCGAATATTGCTAACCTTTTCAATCTCGTGCATGAATTGACCATGGTTCTGAGGTGAATTACCGAAACCCAAGCTATTAAAAAGTCGGCTAACATAAACGAGCAAGCAATTCGTCGACAGTCCGTCTCCCACCGCACCAAATGTGCCCAACACCATCAGCAAAATATCTAACCTGTCTGCATATCTCAATATTATTTTTAATGATGAACTCTTACTACTACTACTTTCCATCTCTCCTTTCTCTTCCCTCGATTTTTCCGAATTATTTGTACACATAGTTTTTGCTGATTAAAACTGCGACACGAACGTTATATATATAGAGTAACACGAAAAGCCTTGATGGATATATGATGGTTTGTGTATAAATAGATAGACAAAATTAAATAGTTCTAAGGAAAATATATATAAAGTGAGTGTTGCTGCATGGTCTACTAAAAATAATAATGCAATCTTTTTGGGTGGGGTTTGCATGGTTATACTCTTTTGTAATTTGGTGGAAATCACTTTCAGTACCACCAATATATTACAACTCTTTTTATTTGTAATAAGTAGGGTTTGTCAACAAAAGATGACTAGCTATGACCCCCCTTAACTTTTCTTCCCTCTTATTTTTTTTCTTTTGCTTTTTTATGGTTTGTTGGTTATGGAAATTAAAGTTGCTTTGATATTATCAACTTTTGTCCTTTTTAACATTGTTTTGTATTCAATTTTTTAATACTTGATGTTTGTAAAAGAGCATGCATTTACCAGAAAAGGCATTTTGCATTTGATCATCACTAGAAGAGAAATCATATGCTAAACATGGTTATTAACAGTGGATGATATATTTTGTTAACCGCAGATCTACACATAATCACGTACAAACCCATGTATATGTTTGCTTAGTGGGTAATTATTTAACCTTATCTTCGTTTTGCAAATTTCCGGCATAAATAACCCGATGTAGGATATAACTTCCCATCACTAATACGTCAGATTTCTGCATTTTGTGGGGAACCAATTATTGTTGCAATCAATTGGTTGTTTAAGAGCATAAGTCTCTAGCTAAGATTTATTTCTTAAACTAACTAAAATGATCAAATTGGATATTACATTGCATGCAAGTGAATTAATTATAGTTATAGTTGATAATTAGATGATCATTAATTTATTCCTATGGAGAAGTACGCGGAAGTGTTAGCACAAGAAGTGCCATATCTAAATGCAATATACATGTGTATTATTGTACTTAACTCCATGTCACGTTATGATTTGGCGTTTTCGGTAAATTTGTTAGGTAGACTTACCTCACCTCACAGACACGCCATATGCATCACTGAATGATGCAAAGCTTGTGGTTTATACTGTCATTGATTAGAAGTTATATATACACACAAAGCTCGTTCCCAAAATCTATGGTTTAGTATTAGAAAAATAGTTATGTCTTGGAGGTATGTGAAATGTACCTTAGTTGTCACTAGTCGAGTCATGCATATTTTTTGCTTCACGAGATAGTGCGTGGATGTACATGACCTGAAGCCATGATTGGGCATGTTCAAGATTCATCTAAATTGACTAACACGAAAGATCCTACGATATTGTATTTGATGGTAATGCAGAATGCATTGAGTATGTGAAGACGGCTTCATTAAATGTGACAACAAGAGGCATATAGCTCTGAGGTTTTGTTCAAGCAAGAATAAGAGCTCAAACAATAATGGTCCAGCAGATCATGAAACATGATGACTACGCTGACTTATTTACTATTTTTTCGCGTAAAGTCACTTAGGAAAAGTATGTTAAGGCTAATGACTTGGCGTAGATTATACGAGCTCGCTCCTCTGTAGACATCAGGGGGAGTTAACTTTAGGGGGAGTATCCTGTAGGTACTAAGTATCAAGAAGATACCGAGGTGTCCTGTTGTACAATTTTTCCGTCGTGTGACATTTATTTTTACCGCGGGGTTTTTGTTACTCGCCAAGGTTTTAACGAGGCAACACATGTTGGTTGAAAAGATTGTGCGTTGTACATTTTTCCTAACCGAAGTTGTTTTTTCCCATTGAGTTTTATTTGAACGAAAATCCCCCTGCGGTCCAAAACCTTTATGATTTTTGACTGATTTTTGCCACCGAAGTTTGACCCGACTTAAAGGTTTGACCGCCTCAGACTGCCTCAAATCGCCTAAAACCGCCTCATTGGCAATAAACCGATTTTTCAAACCTTTAAACTAAAATCGTAAAGGTTTTGGACCGCCTCCGCCTCGGAGACCGATTAATCGGCCGCCTCGGCCGATTTTTAGAACATTGCATGCAATACATGATTCAGTGTCAATTTCTCTCATTTCTATTTGACAAAACAATAATCGATTTTTGGATAATGATAAATATATAAGTCAATTAAATTAAAAACTAAATACAAACTTTTACATAAAAAAATATTCATGAGAAATGTTACTGAATAAAAAATAAATAAATGAAACTACAAAAAATATATGCAAACGGTAACAATGTAGCACATGTGACATAAGTTGAATTCGTAAACAACATCTGCAAAAAATACATAAAGAAAAAAATATTAGCATAGTTCTCCAGTTAACTAAAAATATTAAACGAATTTAAACCATCTAAATTAAATTATAATACGATAAGTGCATGAAATCAATTGAAAAAAAATTACCAGAAAAAAAAAACGAAAAACAAAAACAACTGGAATGAAATGGGTGAAGAAGAATAGTGTAGGGTGAAATAAATAGATGAGGGTTTATATAGTGTTGATAATTATATAGTAATTAGGAAAATTTTAGAATTCAAATTTCAAATGACATGATTATAGGTGGAAAAAGGAAAAAAAAAAGGGTAAGAAATCAAATCAATTAAATTCGGATGATTTGATTTATATTAATTAGGAATTAATTTTAAAATATTAAACAATATTTATGGTTATTGAATATTTTCCTTAAACTAACTATATCAATTAAATATAATCATCTTAAATAGGTAAAGAATCAAATTCCATATCATAAAATGCGTATTCTAATTTTAGAAAATTTTAAATTACATAAAACATACACACAATTTTTTGGTTTTTTGTCTTTTTTCCTTTTTTTTTTTTATTTTAATAATAAAATAATAAATTTCATAATATATTATTAATATGTTTATTTAAAATCGAATTCTAATGCATTAATAAAATACATTAATGTAAAATTATAAAATTATATTAATGGAATTTAAATGATTGATTAATGGAATAGTACACAATCGGATGATATAATTCATAAAGATTAGTAATACTGCATAAATTTAAATTGATATAATTTCAAAATTTATCTATATTAATTTAAATATAAAAATATGGGAAAATTATTAATACTACATTTACCTATCTACTTTTTTTTTTTTTTTTTTTTTTTTTAAATTATTGGTTTTATATATAATATTAATTTATTACCTATCTACGCTTTTTTTTTTTTCTAACTTTTATTGTGTATCTTAGTTTTATATATAATATAGATAAATGCAAAAGTCAAATTATTATAAATAAAAAACGGAAAGATGGCAATATGGCATCGAGCAATATAATATTTATCTACCGGAAAAGAATTGGTATGTAATGATTTTAAATGAATCTCGTTTCGATGAATGTTGACTAATATATTTTATAAATTTTTATATTAAAATTCTTGGCAATAAATATTTATAAAGTTTTCATTTTAATTTATTGTGTGTGTGTGTATGTGTATATATATACATCATAAATAAATCCCCAAAAAATGGTATGTGTTGATTTTAAAAGAATCTCATTTTACATGAATAATATATTTCCTAAACAACAAAAAAACCTTAAATCTTCTTCTGGACTTGCACCATACACTTCAGTGACGTTTTTGTTGGGATAAACAAAAATTGATTAGTTTTCTTCACAAAATGGTTTCCAACACTTCTTGTTTTCCATCCTTGTACTTCTGCGATTCTTCCTCGAATAAATCCCAAAGAAACATTTATATTTTTGGCCAATGTATCCAACAACATCTGCAAATTGCTTGGATATATGCTACACGAAAATTGATCAATGAACAATATATTATTAATTACATATTAGTTATAGAAAATATGAATATAACCTTTGATTTCTCAAGTTTCAAGATGTAGTCACATTTTCTACAAATCCATAGACCTTTTCCATATCCGATATTAGTCGCTTATAATACATGACTTAGCAGCGTCCATATCTATAAATCATTAACAAAAAAAAAACAATTGTTAGAGATATCATGTATACACATATGTAAAAGACGGAACAAAAAAAATAATGTAAATTTAATTATGATCAAGTAATTATCATGTGCATAGAAACAAATGAATCATAATGACTTATTTTGTCGGAAAAAAACATAATTAATATCGGTGTTATAATATATAAAAGTTGAATTGCATAGCTAATTGATTGACATTTGTCAATTTCAATTGATGACATGTCCTTAATTTCATCCCAAGTGGCGAATTGATTGGTGGAAATAAATCATCAAAAAACATGTCATCATTTTCCAAAATTAAAGGTAATTAAATATATTTCATTATTTTATTAATATATTTATATCCTACCATTTATAAAATGCTCTAAATATATCAACTTTCTTAGAAACCCTAAATAAATTTATTTTTTAATTTAATTTTATAATTAATTTAATTTGAATTTATTTAAATTCGATTTAAAATCTTCCCTTATTATAATTGCATAATTGGTGGTGTTACGATTTTTTTAAATTATAATTCATAAACTTGAATTTATTAACAAAAAATATTGCAGAATAAATTATTTGATATTATACATTTTAAATGAACATGACTAGAGAATATGTAATTTTTTACTAATTTAATATTATATATTAATATTATTTGTAAAAAAGAAAGATACATGTTTGAATTTACTATCTTGCGAAAACACTATTTGTTATGCCATGTGTAGAGTAATGTACTCCCAATTATTTACCATATTGAAAATTATACTACATGAATTTAATGTTATTATTTAAATAATTATTTTTTCTTCACTGAGTCCAGTAACAATAAATTTTACGATTGATTTAACTTTTTAAATTATATACTAATTAAAATACAAATCTTATCATGATTATACTAATAAATTGAATAACTTAAGTTAAGTTTAATCAATTGATAAATAAACGAATTGATTTTATATATTTCAAAATATAATAAATTCTAAATCTTTGGTATTAAATTCGTTTATCCACTTTATTTAATGGCTAACATTAAGAATATCAATTGTTTTGTTTAAAATGTATAATGGTCGTATATACTATATAATGTATTCCACTAATAAGTATTTCATTATAACTC